AAACTCTAATTTATATGTACCTTTTTCATATATATACAATATAAATATAGTTAGAGTTATGAATAAAAAGATTAAATTAATAATAATTATTATAGTTGTAAGTTTAAAATATTAGACAATATTATAAATTTATATTTATTATTATATCATTTTTTATACATTTTCTCATTTTCTTAATGGAAAAATTTCTTTTTACTTGTAGATTTTTTTTTTGGCCAAACTTTTTACTAATTGTAAATGAAAAAGATAATATACTAATCGAGATTTTTTTTTTTTGCCTCCGAGTTGGTTTAACGCTCGAAGTGGGAAATTCGGGAAAAGAAGTTATGCTTGTCCAATACTCCAACAGTCTAACTTAATATAAGTTGTATAAAAAATTAAGATGAATTTTTTTCAAAGAAAAAAGAAAAAAGTGGATGATTTTTTTTGTTGGTTAAAAAGGAAATTTCGGAAAAAAAATAATTTTATTATTAATGAATTAGAAAATACTAGTACTTGGAATGAAGTCATGTTTTTAACACTTACGTTTCAAGCAATTGATTCTACATTTATTTGAAATCACTAGCCGTTTTCTTTCGTTTTAAGTCTCTTAAACATTAGTTTTCCCATTAGTTTCAATACAAACACAATGAAAGATGTAAGGGGTGTTTGTTTTAGATGTTAAAAAATAGTTATTAATTGTTACATTTAATTAAATGGTTTAAATACATTGAATTATAAATAATAATGATTATTAATCATTAAATATTAACTATAAACTATCAACCATATCAAAACAATTAATCCAAACAACCTCTTAGTACAAGGGAAATAGAGTATAAGAGATAAGAAAGGAGGAAAGTTACTTCTTTATATAAATTCTTATTTTTATTATTTTTATTTGTTTTAACTTATCAAAATAAAAGAAGAGATCATTCTTGCATTTTTTCCAAACCAAATAGGCCTCAACTCTAAATATATCCCAACCGTCCAAACTTGAAAGAAGAAAAAAGAATGTATTTCTTTTGGATGCACTATACTTGAAAACCTCAATAAGATGTGGAAAAGACCAAAAAAAAAAAAAAAAAAAGGTCATTAATTAATCCATATGCATCCGCGGTTCATTAAAGATATGCTCATTTTTTCTTAGAGAAGAAAATAACGAAGCTAATATTTGTTGGATTTTTTTAACTAAGTATAATTAATATATTTAACTTGTATGGAGTTTTAAAATTTTATAATAATTAAA